GTTAAAGTGCCAACAATCTCATTTTATTTTTCTTCCTCATTTCCAAAATTTCAATTGGCTTTGGTGCTTGATTTAACAGATACTCCATTTCTCCCTCTCTAACCAGGCTAAGCGATGATTCCATTATTTCGCATTATAAGATATGGATAAGATTAAGATCATACGATTATTTAAGAGATCTCATGTTGTTTATGTCGTGAAACACCATTATTATGATATTTGTTAAGATTGTTATCGTGTCTAATTTGATTTCCGATTAAGTTTATTACGGTAAATTTTCTATTGCATATGTAGCTTACTATAAGAGCTATTATATGCTAATTTAACTTACTTTATATTCTTTATTTATTTAAACTTATTTTATGTTTATAGTTGAAATTATCTAATATCCACGGTAAAAGTTGAAAATCGTGGCTATCCTTCTTCCTCAATTTTTGTTTTTTGTTTTTAATCTCATAATCTTCTCCACTACATTTAATTTCCGCCACAAACTTTTTTTTTCTTAAAAAATGTACCATCTTTTGTGCTTTCCTCTTTTATGATTTGTTTTTACGGGCAATTAGGTAGCTAATATTTTGTTAGAAACTTAATTATTTAAACAACCTTTCATGGAAAAATCGTCGATGTTGGTTCGCCCGCCCAAAACAAGTCTTCTGCAAATAAATAAAGAAATATGTGGAAGTTTCGGAATATTGAACATAGTGTTTTAAGAGGAATATGTGACGCTCAAGTCAATATCTTTTATCGCAAAACTTGGTTGAAAATTATAAAAAAAGTTGTCCGACTACATTGATTGGGGGATAATTTGTGAAATAACCAAAAAAATTAATAATTAAGATACTAACTGGAATTGTCTTATGTGACATAATCATAGCCATTGCATTAGGGCAATTGATTAGTTTTGTAATTATAAATTTTTTTTTGGTTATTCATGCTAATTTTCTTTAATTTTACTGATCATCACTAAGAGAACCATTACCAAATAGCAATATATAGAACTAAGAGAGCCATTACCAAATACCATTTTTTTTTTTTAAATGAAAGTTCCTTTTTGTCATTATAGAACTCATGCAAAG